AAAATAATTATTAACAAGATTATTATAATAGTTGTATGTTAGAAGCCACTGTTTTCCCGATCGGGTGTTTTCGGTTATTTTTACTGCTAAAAGTTACTGCTAACTTCACACCGGTCAGGTCCAGACGGTATCAAACGCCTTTTCCGTATCTAAGGCGACCAGCACTGTTAATTTTGTGTTGTTAAATGCCTCTTTCGCTTGATGGCTATTCTTATTACTTGTAATATAGTACCATGCCCTTCACGGAAACCGTACTGTTCCTGTGGGATTATTTGTTTGTCCTGTTCAATTATGTGTAGTTTGTTTAGTATTATGTTGTCAATTAATTTAGTAAGTGTGTTAAGAAGTGATATGGGGCGGTAACTATCTATATTCTTTTTACTTTTCCCTGTTTTGTGAATCGGTATGATGTTCGCGATTTTCAGTTTAGTGGGATAATATTGTATTTTTAGTATCGCATTAATAATGTAGTGTATTTGTACTATTGTTTTTCTGGTTATATTTTTTAGCATTAGGCCCGTGATTTGATCTGGTCCCGGCGATTTTCTCTTGTTTATTCTGTCTATGGCAATTTTAACCTCGCTCGGCTTGACCAGCTGATTGGTCGGAAAATTTTGACTAGGGAGGAGCCTGATGTCGTTGACCACGCCCTCTATAATTTGCTGCTGAATATTGTTTTCAATGTTATTAGTGAAATTTTGCTCAAAATATGTACCGAACGCTTCCCCTTTTTGTGTGTCTGTGATGTATTGTGTGTTATTGTCCTCAAGTGTCGGTAAATGCATAAACGGTTTCTTATATCGCTTTGTCATCTTCCACACTGAGTTGTCTTGTGTTTTGAGGCCTCGTAGTGTATCTGTCCACTTTTCGTTTTTTAAATCTCGTATGGCTGTGTTGATGGCTTTTGAAATGTCTAGTAGTCTGATTTTGTCGTCTCCTTATCTGTGTCTTTGCCATCTTTTCCTTATGTTGTTTTTGTTGGTAATCATGTCTTCTATTTCAGGTGTTAAGTTTTCTTGATGAGATTTAATGTGTTTTACTTGTGTGGAGGCGTCTCTAGCCTTTATCAAAGCGTTTGTTAGTTTTTCTTATTGTTCGTCCAGTTCATTCGTTGTGTTAATGTTGTTGTTTATTACGATGTCTCTGTCCAGTATTTCCCTGTAAATCGTCCAGTTTGTTGTTTTGTAGTCGTAATATTGTTCGTTTTGTCTTTGTATGTTCTTTCTTGTCTTAATTTCAAGGCTGATCGGGTCGTGGTCTGAATTGAGTGTCGGAATCGTTCGTAAATTGTGTATGTTGTCTATGTTTTTTGTTATTGCAATGTCTAGTGTACTAGGTGTTTGTCCTGTGAAAGGGAGAAACGTCGGTACATCTGTGTTATATATATTGGTTGTTTAATGGGTATGCGCTCAAAGTGTTACCGTTTTTGTTATTTTTGGCCAAATTTGCATCCCACTCTTTATTTTTAGCATTTAAATCCCCAATTAGCATTACTTTCTCCCCTGTGGACATAAGGTTGTATAGATCGATCTGATTGAATTTATTTAGGGGTTTGTTATAGGCCCCTATAATAGTTATGCCCCCTATTTTTATTATTGCATGCTCTATGCTAGAAATTACATTATTTACGATTGCATATGTTGTTTCGGTTAATAAAGATAGCCACGCCCCCTTTAGGTAGGTCTGGTCTGTCTTGTCTGTAAATGTCGTAGTCGCGCACTTTTATTTTGTGATGTGGTTTTAAATGAGTTTCTGATAATATTACGATGTCGAATTTATGTTTATAAATGAAGTTGCATACAAGATGTTTCTTGTTTAGCAGCCCGTTTACATTGTAAGAACAGATTTTGTATTTGTCTCATAATACCGCAGCGAATTTAGTTCCTGAATTTATATGAGTTAAAGTTGGTCATGAAACTATTGTATGTTAGGAAAATTGACACTTCGCTGCGGCATTCCCTAAGTTTTGAGTTAAGATCTCTTACCGCTCGGGTGAGCTCTGCAATGTTGACAATTGAATTTAATTCCTGCATCTCATGATTGAGGGCGAACATGTCGTCCATACCTCCCTGTGAGCCTTGGGGTTGTGAGTTGGATCTTTGTGGCTGTCTTCTGTCTTCTTTCATCGGTGGTTCATCACGGTTGCCCGGTAAGAGAGGGAACTCTGTATTACGGTTGCCCGGTAAGAGAGGGAACTATGTATTATAGTTGTTTACATTATTTGTGGCCTCTCTCCTGCTTTCCCACCTATTTCTAGTAGGTAGGGGTGCAGGAATGTAAGTTTTCTTGTTGTTTTGTTTGTTTGTTTTTGATTTCCTTTCCTCCAGGCGTGCCACCCTGTCTATGTATGCTATGCATTTCGTAAAGTTGGCAGGGTGGTCCCCTCCACAATTGAAACATGTTGCTGGAGTTTCCCTTGACTTAATGCACGTTCGTGTATGGTGCCCTGCTGCACACTTCAGGCAGTTAGCCGGCTTACCGCAATTGGATGTGGCATGCCCCCATGCCTGGCAATTGTGGCACTGTATAATTTGTTTTGTGGATCTCCTAAGCTCCCATGTTATCCTGGTATACAGCACCACTCTCACATTTCTGTTGAGGAAGTCTAGTGTTATGGTGGGGTCGGTGATTACCAGGAATAGGGGTCTATTCTTGGTCGTCATGCAATAGGCTGCTCTGATTTTTATTTCGTACGTTTCCATTAGGTCTTCTTCCAGGTCCTCGATTTTGGTTCCGTCTCCCAGTCATCTTATGACGAAGGCGTGGGATTTTTCACTTTTACTTGTGTACGTATGATAGGCCATTTCTTCCTTCTTTATGTTGGCAAGTTGAGTCGGTAGAAATTTCTTTAGGAGTACTGCAGGGCTCGGTACTTGCTCCCCTCCTCTTCATCATCTACGCTAACGATTTAAAATGTGCTTTAGGCCATGCAGTTAATTCACTTGTCTGTTATGCTGATGACACAAATATTCTCCTAAAACTCAAAGATGTTTCTAATTTCCAAGCAAATCTGAATTTAATTTATTTAAGGCTACAAGAATGGATGTATCACAACAAGTTAACTATAAATAATGATAAAACTGCCTGCATGGTTTTTACATCTAATAAATCTAATCTAAAACGGAATACATATAAATGCAACTTTTTTAGAATACGCTAATAATATAAGATTACTTGGTATTTATCTGGATTGCCACTTAACTTGGGAAGAACATGTCGAATGGCTTAGCAAAAGATTATCGTCGTCTTGTTTTACACTTAGTGTCATGACTAAACAATGTAGTAGCCATATAACAAAAACTCTATATTTTGCTAATTTTCATATCCATTTGAGGTATGGTATTATACACTGGGGTCTCTGTAAGGATTTTAATAGAATTTTTATCATCCAAAAATATGCCATACGTATTTTAGCTAACCTTAAACCTGTAGAAACCTGCAGAAGTGCCTTCAAAGAGCTGAATATTTTACCCGCCATCGGAGTTTACATCTATGAGCTTTTATGTTATGTTAGATGCAATTTTTTCTCTTTCACTTTACACAATGCAGATCATTCATACTCTACTCGATATAAAAATTCAATTTTATCGGGTCGATGGTGTAGCGATCTATCGCGCTTATATTCATTTATAGGCGAGTTTATGAGTCCGAGACTGCTGGGCTTCGAATCCCAGACCAGACCATGTGGATTTTTAATTAAATTGCATGGTTCGGTTTAGGATTTGATGTGTGCCGTATTAATGGAAATTCAATTTCTGTTGATATGTCATGCAGATTATAAAATCGCCATACATTATCGTCTCGATGATGGTGGGTGAGGTTTTCCGGGTTTTCCTCACCTGTAAGTGAAATGACACCATCAATCATCCTTAAGTCGCCCCGGAGCGCCACGGCAAATAATAATAATAATAATAGCCGTCCCTTCCCCTACACAAGTCGTTCAGTCGACTTCAGGGGTTGAAATTCACTCGTAAGGGGGTGAATTAGGGAGAGTATTATTATTATTATTACTACAGTCTAATCAACACAATACTGCTCTATATCAAAAAGGGGCATTTTTTAATGGATGTATGTTGTACAATTTAATTCCAGATTATGTTAAAAAATGCTCAAACATCAACAGTTTTAAAAAAAGTCTTAAAAAATACATAAACCATGTTAATCCATATACCGTTGAAGAGTTTTTATCATTTCACTAAGTCCAATTTCAATTACAATTTACATTTGTGTTTAATTTTATTATTATCTATATCATTATAAGTGTCGCTAATGTTAATTATTATTTTGCATTTGTGTACTATTTATTTTTACTATTATCATAACTGTCGCTAATCTTAATTTTCATTATTATTATTATTATTATTATTATTATTATTTAATTCTTATTTTTTTATTAATATTATATCTGTCGCTTATTTTATTTATATACTCATGTACCTTGACTTGTTTTTTATGTATTATTCATATAAAAATAAAGATATATTATTATTATTATTATTATTATTATTATTATTATTATTATTATTATTATTATTATTATTATTATTATTATTATTATTATTATTATTATTATTATTATTATTATTATTATTATTATTATTATTATTATTATTATTATTATTATTATTATTATTATTATTATTATTATTATTATTATTATTATTATTATTATTATTATTATTATTATTATTATTATTATTATTATTATTATTATTATTATTATTATTATTATTATTATTATTATTATTATTATTATTATTATTATTATTATTATTATTATTATTATTATTATTATTATTATTATTATTATTATTATTATTATTATTATTATTATTATTATTATTATTATTATTATTATTATTATTATTATTATTATTATTATTATTATTATTATTATTATTATTATTATTATTATTATTATTATTATTATTATTATTATTATTATTATTATTAAATGCATAAAATGCGGGACTCTGTCGCACAACAGTTGTTTGAAAGTAATGAAAAACGTGAAATTTCTAAAGGATGGGACCATCATTTGCTGCTCTGAGAAGAAATCTGAAGAGGAAGATACTGACTCAATTCCGCAAAATGTACAAGAGATACAGGGAGGCATTCCCAATGTGGACAAAATTACCATTACGTATTTGGAAGAACTAATTAAACAAAAAGATATGACAATAAAAAATCAAGATATCGCAATAAAAGCTCTCAGTGACCAAATAAATCTTTTGAAACAACTTGAAAATCAAGCACCCAAGTCAGTATCAGTCTCACCATCTATATCGAGCCTTAACGCATGGGATACTAGTAAAGCTGATCAAACAGAACAACACAGAAAAAAAACTAATGTGATATCAAAACCAGTCACAAAAAAGGCCTTGTCAAATGCTGTTCATACTGCTGAATCTTTACAAGTCTGCCAAGAAGTTATTAATCTTAACAAAGAAGAAAGTTATGCGTCCAAGACATCTGTTAACAAACCAAATAAAGCAAGAAATCTACTAATAGGTAATAACGAAAACTTAGCTGACTGTCCTTTCAAAGCAGCTGTCACACATAGAAATACTTTAAGACATTATCATGCTACCAACTTAGAACCTGATACGGACCAAACCGAACTATTAAATTATATGAAAAAGTATGCACCGAACATAGAAATTCAGAAGCTGAATTCTCGCAGTCCGCAATTATATTCTTCTTTTAAAATTACGGTACCATCTGAGGAATCCGATAACATCTTAAAAAGTGAAATCTGGCCCAGTTATGTGGTTATAAATCGTTTTTTTCGTCCCAAACATTTTTCAAGAAGTTTCAGATATGAGCAAGAAACTGATGGACAGGAGAAGTCCTAAAAATTCGTTCTCGTTAAACACATCCTTATTTTATAATTCTAACTTTAATTACTCAGTATTTCACCTCAATGTCCAGAGTATTAGTAATAAAATTGAAGATTTAAATGTTATTTTAAAAGAAAATCCTTTTAACATAGTTTGTATTTCCGAGCATTGGTTAGATGCAGAAAATCTGAAAAATATTGTTCTATATGATTATACGTTAGTATCAAGTTTTTGTAGGCAAAATAGAAAGCTGCATGGTGGTGTAGCTATTTTTGCTAATAAACAAATTGTAATGCAAAACATCGTTGTATCACAATTCAGTCGTAGTATTGATGCCGAATTTTGTGCCGCTGAAATTAAAAATAAAAATTGTGCTGTTCTGACTCTATATAGGTCATCAAGCAAAGGGAATTTATCTATATTTATTGAGGCTTTTTATGATGTACTAGACTACCTTACAAATAAGTATAAGACGGTCGTTATTGCAGGTGATATAAACCTGAACCTTGATGGAGATACTGAGTATGCAAGTCAATTAAGAAATATATGTTCTATGTATGGTATGGGACATTTGGTACATATTCCAACGAGAATAACTTTGAACAGTAGAAATTGTTTAGATAACATAATAACAAATTTAAATCGAGAAGAACTCATATCAGGAGTCTATGAACCATTTGTCTCAGACCATTCTGGTGTTTATCTTTTTTTTAAAATAGAATCGTCATCGCAAAACGTCTGTTATAAGAAACGAGTTGTTAACGAGAGTGGAATAATAAAGTTCGCGAGTGAAGTTAGTGAAATAATATGGCCCGATATATGCAATTTAAGTCTAAATGAGTATGCTGATTATATTGTAAATATTTTATCCCAAAAAGCAGACATTTGTTTTCCTATTAAACTATTAAATTGTAATAAACAAAAAATAAAATGGTACACTAATGAGCTAAGGGAAATGCGCCGAGAAGTTGAAAAACTTAGAAAATCATTTAAAATTTCAAATTCTCCAACTGATTGGTATTTATACTGCGATCTTCGCAAACAGTATCGGAAATCTTTAAAGAGAGAAAAAAAGAAATCCCATGAAGAATTTATATCTTCTGCAGGTGACAAAAATAAAGCTATCTGGAGTATAGTGAACCAAGAGAGAAATAATAAAAAGAAAACTCAAAATATAACTTCCTTAAACTCGGAAATGTTAAATAACTTTTTTATAAATATACCCGAATCAATTTTGGCCGATCTAGAAGATCCAAGTATGAGTCCTATTTCTTATATGAATAACCTTTCAAGGTCCTCATCATCTTTTTTTATGACTGCAGTCTTAGAGAGTGACGTAAGGCAGGCTATTTTATCTTTAAAAAATAAACCATGTCTGGATTACTACAACATAAATGCCATCATGCTCAAAGCAGCCCTTAACTCACTAGTTACACCACTGACCACTTTGTATAATATGTGCATAAATGAAGGTAGCTGGCCTAAAGCCTTGAAAGTTGCTAAAGTTATTCCCATCCTCAAAAAAGGAGATGCTGATCAGGTTGATAACTATAGACCAATTACAATAATACCATCCATTTCAAAAGTATTAGAAATTTTACTGAAAGAAAAATTGACTTTATATTTAGAAAACAAACAAATTTTATCATCGTGTCAATTTGGATTTCGAAAAGAGAAGTCGACCATTCTAGCTTTAAAAAGTATACTTGCAGACATAGTCGAAGGTCTTGATGAAGGATTTGTCACACATGCTGTAATGTGCGATCTGACTAAGGCCTTCGATTGCGTAAACATAGATATTTTATGTAGTAAATTGGAGTTTTATGGATTAAGAAATAAGGAACTCAACCTGTTCAGATCCTATTTGGAGGATAGGAAACAATACGTGAGCTACCAGAACCTTGACTCCCTCTTAGTCAGAGTCAAGAGTGGAGTACCTCAGGGTTCAATTTTGGGCCCATTATTGTTTATTTTGTACGTAAATGATTTACCCAAATCAGTTAATGAGAGGAGTCAAGTCATTCTGTACGCTGACGACACTACTTTGCTGACTAAAGGTGAAGAGTGCATGAGTACAGCAAACCTAAATTTGGCGAAGGATTGGTTTACGGCAAATAAATTGAAACTTAATAACAGTAAGACACAAAATATACTTTTCAGTTCTGATAAATGTGCCGCAAAGTCTGAACCAGTTAAATTATTAGGCGTTACCTTTGATACTGCACTTACGTGGGTTGATCATATAGAGAGGCTGTGTTCAAGACTTTCCACTCAAATATTTGTATTACGCCAACTACGAGGTTCTATAAGCAGTAACAATGTCATGTGCACAATTTACTTTGCAATTGTACATAGTCACCTCTCTTATGGCATCACACTATGGGGTAGAGCCAATGGTACCCACAGAGTCTTTACTTTACAAAAGGCTGCTGTGCGCATCATTGATGCTGCCAGAAACAGAGTGCATTGTAAAGAGCTGTTTAAAAAGTACAAGGTTCTTCCGCTTCCATGTATTTACATATTTGAAACCTTAACTATGATTCATCGGGATGTTTCTATGAGGACCAAACATTGCGATGTACATAGTTACAATACGAGAGGGGCAGAAAACCTTGTAGTACCATTTTCTAGATTAAAAGTGTCAGAAATAAATAAGCTCGACGTAAATCTCTACAACAAATTAGCTACAATTGTTGACATTAAAAAATTAAATCAAAAGCAGTTCCACAAACATGTTAAAGCATTTTTACTAGAGCACTGCTTCTACAGCATTCAAGAATATTTGAACTTCTTTTAAAAAAAAGTCATATCATGTATCTTAAATTTGTGTGTTTAAACTATTTTATATATTTTTTATACTTTTACTTCTATGTTATTTTAACCTATTTCTATGTAATTTTACTCAATGTAATTGTAATTTATTTTTATAACTAATTTTAATGTATTTATTTATACTTTTGCTTAATATTTGGACTTCAAAAATACCTGTATATTTCAAAGTGGTCAATAAACTTATCGTATCGTATCGTATCGTATTTTTATTATTATTATTATTATTATTATTATTATTATTATTATTATTATTATTATTATTATTATTATTTATTATTATTATTATTATTATTATTATTATTATTATTATTATTATTATTATTATTATTATTATTATTATTATTATTATTATTATTATTATTATTATTATTATTATTACTATTATTATTATTATTATTATTATTATTATTATTATTATTATTATTATTATTATTATTATTATTATTATTATTATTATTATTATTATTATTATTATTATTATTATTATTATTATTATTATTATTATTATTATTATTATTATTATTATTATTATTATTATTATTATTATTATTATTATTATTATTATTAGTATTATTATTATTATTATTATTATTATTATTATTATTATTATTATTATTATTATTATTATTATTATTATTATTATTATTATTATTTATTATTATTATTATTATTAATATTATTATTATTATTATTATTATTATTATTATTATTATTATTATTATTATTATTATTATTATTATTATTATTATTATTATTATTATTATTATTATTATTATTATTATTATTATTATTATTATTATTATTATTATTATTATTATTATTATTATTATTATTATTATTATTATTATTATTATTATTATTATTATTATTATTATTATTATTATTATTATTATTATTATTATTATTATTATTATTATTATTATTATTATTATTATTATTATTATTATTATTATTATTATTATTATTATTATTATTATTATTATTATTATTATTATTATTATTATTATTATTATTATTATTATTATTATTATTATTATTATTATTATTATTATTATTATTATTATTATTATTATTATTATTATTATTATTATTATTATTATTATTATTATTATTATTATTATTATTATTATTATTAATATTATTATTTTTATTATTATTATTATTATTATTATTATTATTATTTTTATTATTATTATTATTATTATTATTATTATTATTATTATTATTATTATTATTATTATTATTATTATTATTATTATTATTATTATTATTATTATTATTATTATTATTATTATTATTATTAATTATTATTATTATTATTATTATTATTAATTATTATTTTGTTGAAATTCCGACGTGACGTATCCTGTGGCTCCGACCCCACAGGGCGTTACGCGGATGGCCTATCGTGAAGACGATCACTCCTCGCGTCCGCTCGGTCAGTGATCGTCAGCCAAACTCATTTGCCTCAAAAGACGCATTGAACCGAGAACGACGGCTTTTTGCATGTTCATCACTAGATGTTCGAGCGATGCACGGCATGCCGGTATTTTCCTCAGCTCTATTAAGATATTGTCCTTAGTCCCTCCAAGAACGCCAATTATAAGGACTACAAAATATACGGTGTACTCAGGATATAGTCTGCGCAATTCGCCAAGCAGTTCTACATATTTGGCCCGCTTTTCCCTCTCCTTAAGTTCGATGTTTGTTTCTGCCGGAGCGGAAAACTCAATGACGTACATTGAGTTTTTCTGCTTATCCAGCAAGACTATGTCTGGTTTATTCGCCTGAAGGCGTGTTGTAGTAGGAAAAGCGTAATTCCAATAAATGCGGCAGTTATCATTTTCCACTACTCTCTCAATGTCCCCTGCAGCATAAGGTAGCACTGGTGTTTCATCCATACCGTAGAAATGTCGCAGATGATAATATAGCACCCGAAGAGCCGCGTTGTGCCGGTAAATATAGCTAGAAACAGCATGCACAGGACAAGCTGACAATAAGTGCATAAGTGTTTCGGGATGCTGGCGACAGGTTCTACATCTTACGTCGACAACTTCAGAAAATTGACTACGGTAT